TGTATCTTTATACCACCTTTCTCGTTACAAAATGATACTTTGTTTCCTAATTGTACCCTTTTCGTACATCATCTTCCTTGCCTGTGAAAGTTTAGCTCCATACCGCCCTCTACTGGCCACTTCTCAATATAACATTTCCTAATATCTGTATGCAGAATACAAAGACATTTACTGTACAGGCGTACCTCAGTTTACGAATTTAATGCGTTCTGCGGGGCTTTTCGTATTGCAAAAAAAAATTCTTAAACCGAAACGCGGTTTACCATAGGAATGCATTGAAAACCAATTAATCCATTCCGGAGGTCAGAAAAAAGTTTAAAAACAAAGTCTTTTATCTGTTCAAAACTCTTTCTAAAGTGCACTTTAAAGGCATAAATATTGTACAGGGACATGATAAAAAAATTATTCCAGAAAATACTACTCCTAATATTAATGATAATTAGCGGCGCATTAGCTATATGTGGCACAGTAATTCCTTTTAGTGGTCTCTATGTGCAAACTCATTTACACAAATATTAAGTGACATAAATAATATGTGACCTACCTGTTGGTAAAAATAAAAATGAGAATTTGCTACCCCTTTAACACCCTTCCCTACTCTAAAAAAAAAATTGCTACACATTCCCTTCAAATTGAAATTATACACTAAAGGTCCCTTTTTTTAATGACTGCAACTCGATCCTTGTTAGGCAGCCAAACGTTATACTACAGGTACAGAGCTGCTTTAAATGGAGTAGGAGGCACCATTTCTCTCATTGGATGAAAATCTGCTCTGAGTGGCAAGTGGGGATCCAACCTTTATGATTGGTATGGATCCATACCGGATGGGTGGCACTGATCTGACCGCTACCAGTGGGATATCTTCAAAGACAACATTGGCAGTTATGGATCCATTCTGGATGGGTGGCACAGGTCTGACCGCTACCAGTGGAGGATTTTCTGAGACATCATTGCTTTTCACATCTGTTCTTCTGCAGCAAATCTGGAAATAAAAATCACACAGACACTGCTCAGGAAATTGAATATTATCTGGATCCACTGTGGGTGTAGGATTATTACTTTTTTATGGTTGAACTGGATGGAGTTTTGACTTTTTTCGGCCAGACTAACTACATAACTATCACCAACATATAGCATTGGGGCTGTTCACTCTCTAATTTACGGCGTCACCCAATAGTCCATTCTCCCATGTAATATTGCTGCCCTGGGTCAGAATTCCCTGCACTCTGCTCGGCCTTTTGTCCTTAGATGTGGGGACTGCATTCATTGTCTTTGGTTTCCCTTTATTTTCTCACCTCCTTTTGCCTTTCTGTGATCGGAGAACCAATCATCTTTTATAACTTTGGCCTGTGTCTGGTTTTGACCAACCTCCCCCCAAATTCATGTGATCCTCATCAGTTCCTAATTGGGGTGGAGAAGAATTGCTCATTTGATCATCTCCCTATAAATTTAGACCAGCTTATGGGGGAGGTCACAGACGGGGGGCATTTTCTGCTCAGGTGGGAAGCAGCAGTTTAACTCAAGCAGCAGAAAAATACAACAAAGAACTGTACTGCACGCTGGATGGACTGCAAGCAAACACCCTGCGAAACATCTCCTAAAAGTTTGAATCCCACTCCATGGACTTTTTATTATGCCCCCATTTCATATTACTATCCTCTGTCCTCAAAATCTCATTTCTTTACCCCTCTGCTCCACCCAAAACTTATACATCTCCCCTCACTGCTACCATCTCCCAACTACTGCTCTCACCACCTCCTGCTGATACTTCACTCTCCTGCTGACCCAAACACCAGGGCTGGAAGGTATGTGCGCTGATGTACATCCCGCTTCGATGTTACTTTCCCCACCCTCCTTCTCCTAACCTCTGGAGATATCTCCCCAAACCCTGGTCCTCCAGTATCTCACCCCCACACCAGGCACCCTCCTTCCTCCAGAAATAACTGCAATCCTCTCAATTTAATCCCAATCCCCGTGCTCCTAAAACCACCACCCTCCCTTTTTCATGTGCGCTCTGGAATGCCCGCTCTGTCTGGAATAAGCTCACCTCTGTCCACCTCACCTCTGTTTTGTCTCCGGCTCCCTTAACCTACTAGCAATTACAGAAACCTGACTCCAAGCAGCAGATTCTGCTTCTCCCGCAGCACTTTCCTATGGAGGCCTCCTCTGGACCCACTCAGCCAGACCCAGTGGTCCCCACTGAGCAACTTTCAAGTCCTTCCTATCCCTCCCTCTCTATTCTTCTCTTCTTTTGAGACTCACTGCAATCGGCTGTTTTCTTCCATTTCTCTAAAGATTGCAGTGATCTATCGGCCTCCTGGACCCGTGTCCCGCTTTCTTGATGACTTCTCTGCTTGGCTACCATACTTTCTCTCCTCTGAGCTACACACTATCACTTGTGGAGATTACAACATCCCCATTAATGTGAACAACCCGGCTACATCCCAACTATGTAGCACAGTGGCTAAATGGTTAGCACTTCTGCCTGGCAGTACTCGAGTCGTTGGTTCGAATCCCAACCATGACACCACCTGCCTGGAGTTTGCATGTTCTCCCTGTGCCTGCGTGGGTTTCCTCCAGGTACTCCGGTTTCCTCCCACACTCCAAAGACATGCTGGTAGGTTAATTGGCTCCTGTCTAAATTGTCCCTAGTATGTGTATGTATGAATGTGAGTTAGGGACCTTAGATTGTACGCCCCTCAGGGGCGGGGACTGATGTGACTGTACAATATATATGTAAAGTGCTGCGTACATTGACGGCGCTATATAAGTACCTGAAATGAGGACTAAAGGTTGGAATGCTTCCCTTTCTGGAACAAATGCTGCTCCTGGTTTCCTCGGGTCTTGCTTATGATAAGCTTTGCTAATATCCTCCATCAGAAAAGATCAGCACCTAAAACAGAACTGGGGACCATTATCCGACCCGGGCTCTCAGATCCCCCTTCACCGGATATCACATGATCAACACTAGGTCATGTGATATCTGGCAACACTGTAGAGAGCCTAAAGCAGCATTTTCTCCAGGAGAGGCAAGTATTTCAGACCTTTAAATTGCTCTTCGCACATTCCAGAAACGGATAATATAACTCCACCTTTCAGTGTAGATCCAACGAATCAACGAAGTCTCTCTAGAGGCGACTGCTGAGCTAGAGGAATCATCTGATCACAGATAGGAAAGATGTAACTACTACTCACCAGAGCCACAAAGATAGTCACACCGAGCACTGCAACAGCTGGAAGAATTCGGGATCTTCTATAATCTGATGCAACAGAAAATAACAACAGTGTTTGTACAGTACATACAGTGGGGCAAAAAAGTATTCAGTCACCACAAATTGTACAAGTTCTCCCACTTACAAAGATGAGAGAGGCCTGTAATTGGCATCATAGGGAGACCTCAACTATGAGAGACAAAATGAGAAAACAAATCCAGACAATCACATTGACTGATTGGAAAGAATTTATTTGCAAATTATGGTGGAAAATAAGTATTTGGTGAATATGAAAAGTTCATGTCAATACTTTTTATATATCCTTTGTTGGCAATGACAGAGGTCAGACGTTTCCTGGAAGTCTTCACAAGGTTGGCACACACTGTTGCTGATATGTTGGCCCATCCTCCATGCAGATCTCCTCCTCCATGCAGATCTCCTCTAGAGCAGTGATGTTTTGGGGCTGTCGCTGGGCAACACGGACTTTCAACTCCCTCCAAAGGTTTTCTATGGGGTTGAGATCTGGAGACTGGCTAGGCCACTCCAGGACCTTGAAATGCTTCTTACGAAGCCACTCCTTGGTTGCCCGGGCGGTATGTTTGGGATCATTGTCATGTTGGAAGACCCAGCCACGTTTCATCTTCAATGCCCTTGCTGATGGAAGGAGGTTTGCACTCAAAATCTCACGATACATGGCCCCATTCATTCTGTCCTGTACATGGATCAGTCATCTTGATCCCTTTGCGGAGAAATAGCCCCAAAGCATGATGTTGCCACCCCCTATGGTGTTCTTTGGATGCAACTCAGCATTCTCTCTCCTCCAAACACGACGAGTTGTGTTTCTACCAAACAGTTCTATTTTGGTTTCATCTGACCATATGACATTCTCCCAATCCTCTTCTGGATCATCCAAATGCTCTCTAGCGAACCTCAGACGGGCCCCGACATGTACTGGCTTAAGCAGGGGGACACGTCTGGCACTGCAGGATCTGAGTCCCTGGCGGCGTAGTGTGTTACTGATGGTAGCCTTTGTTACGTTGGTCCCAGCTCTCTGCAGGTCATTCACTAGGTCCCCCCGTGTGGTCCTGGGATTTTTGCTCACCGTTCTTGTGATCATTTTGACCCCACAGGGTGAGATCTTGCGTGGAGCCCCAGATCGAGGGAGATTATCAGTGGTCTTGTATGTCTTCCATTTTCTAATTATTGCTCCCACAGTTGATTTGTTCACACCAAGCTGCTTGCCTATTGCAGATTCAGTCTTCCCAGCCTGGTGCAGGTCTACAATTTTGTTTCTGGTGTCCTTCGACAGCTCTTTGGTCTTCACCATAGTGGAGTTTGGAGTGTGACTGTTTGAGGTTGTGGACAGGTGTCTTTTATACTGATAACAAGTTCAAACAGGTGCCATTGATACAGGTAATGAGTGCAGGACAGAGGAGCCTCTTAAAGAAGAAGGTCCAGGTCTGTGAGAGCCAGAAATCTTGCTTGTTTGTAGGGGACCAAATACTTATTTTCCACCATAATTTGCAAATAAATTCTTTCCAGATCAGCCAATGTGATTGTCTGGATTTGTTTTCTCATTTTGTCTCTCATAGTTGAGGTCTCCCTATGATGCCAATTACAGGCCTCTCTCATCTTTGTAAGTGGGAGAACTTGCACAATTGGTGGCTGACTAAATACTTTTTTGCCCCACTGTATCTCTGTGTAAGTAACATATATGTGGTTTGAACCAGACGCATCCAATTCACATGACGTGTGAAATAACATTGCTTCCCATGGTGTCTGTTCACATACACTATATGTCAAAAGAATTGTCCCCGCCCTCCAAATCATGTGATTCAGGTGTTCCAATCCCCTCCATATCATGTGATTCAGGTGTTCCAATCCCCTCCATGGACACAGGTGTATACAATCAAGCCCCTAGGCATGCAGACGGCTTCTACAAACATTGGTGAAAGAATGGGTCGCTCTCAGGAGCTCAGTGACTCCAAGCGTGGTCCCGTGATAGGTGGTCACCTGGGCAATAAGTCCATCCATGACATTTCCTGGCTGCTAAATATTCCACGCTCAACTGTTAGTGGGATTTATAACAAAGTGGAAGCCACTGGGAACAACAGCCACTCAGCCACCAAGTGGTAGGCCACGTCACATGACAGGGCGGGGTCAGCGCATGCTGAAGCGCACAGTGCGCAGAAGTCACCAACTGTCTGCAGAGTCAATAGCTAAAGACCTCCAAACTTGGTGTGGCCTTTCAGATGAGCCCAACAACAGTGCGTAGAGAGCTTCATGGAATGGGTTTCCATGGCCGAGCAGCTGCATCCAAGCCTTCCATCACCAAGTGCAATGCAAAGCGTCGGATGCCGTGGTGTAAAGCACGCCGCCACTGGACTCTAGGGCAGTGGGAGACGTGTTCTCTGGAGGGATGAATCACATGGTCTGTCTTCATTTCAGGCTGCAAAGCAACAAAATGTGATTATTTTAATGGGAGGGGGGGGCGATTCTTTTTTCTACCTGCTCCCTACTCCCCACTATCATTTGTAAACACAGATGTATGGCTTCTGTGTTTACAAGTGACAGTTTGTCTCCCAGTGGCTCCCATGGATCTGATCTCCTGAGTGGCTCCCACTGAGGGCAGGATGGGGACAAGTGAGTAGCAGGTGCCCAGGGTGCGGTAGGCTGCACCCACTGTGATCTTTATTTTTCCACTGTACCCAGGCAGGGCCGTGGATAAGGGGGTAACGCTAGAAACAGATGTGGTAAGACAGGGAGATCGGCAAGGTGGGGGGGGATCCCCCACACGGCTCTCCCTGCAGCAGCTGAAAGCGGGATTCTTCTCCTCTGCCTCCCTCTTGCTGGCTTTCAGCTGCTGCAGAGAGCCATACAGGGGATCGGTTTCCAGTAATTATTCCCCGGTGCACCCATAACCCCCTCCCTGTGCATCATATGTTTCCCCCTGCTGCCCAGGCCCCCCTGTGTGCCCCCACCCCTGCAGTGCTGCCGGCTTCCCTCAAGCAGCTGCCACACAATAGGATCTTTCAGGATGGAGAGTGGAGGAAGGGTCTGATAAATACAGTATCTCCCGGAAGTGAGTCCGCCCCTCACATTTGTATAAATATTTGATTCTCTCTTTTCATGTGACAACACTGAAGAAATGACACTTTGATACAATGTGACGTAGTCAGTGTACAGCTTGTATAACATGGAAATTTGCTGTCCCCTCAAAATACTCAAACACACCGCCACAACATTCCGCCATTAATGTCTAACCCGCTGGCAACAAAAGTGACTCCACCCCTAAGTGACAAGGTCCAAATTGGGCCCAATTAGTCATTTTCTCTCCCTGGGGCCATGTGACTCCTTAGTGTTACAAGGTCTCAGGTGTGAATGGGGAGCGGGGGGGGGGTTACATTTGGTGTTTTGCTCTCACTCTCTCTTACTGGTCACTGAAGTTCAACATGGCACCTCATGGCAAAGAATCTCTCTGAGGATCTGGAAAAAAAAAAGAATATTCCTCTACATAAAGATGGCCGAGGCTATAAGAAGATTTACAAGACCCTGAAACTGAGCTGCAGCACGGGGGCCAAGACCATACAGCGGTTTAACAGGACAGTTCCACTCAAAACAGGCCTCGCCATGGTCCACCAAAGGAGTTGAGTGCACGTGCTCAGCGATCATATCCAGAGATTGTTTTTGGGAAATAGATGTATGAGTGCTGTCAGCATTGCTGCAGAGGGGTGAAGGGGTGGGGGGGTCAGCCTGTCAGTGCTCAGACCATACGCCGCACACTGCATCACATTGGTCTGCATGGCTGTCGTCCCAGAAGGAAGCCTTTCTAAAGATGATGACCAAGAAAGCCGCAAACAGTTTGCTGAAGACAAGCAGACTAAGGACATGGAATACTGAAACCAACTCCTGTGGTCTGATGACACCAAGACATAACTGGATTGGGATTCAGATGTGTGTCATGCGTGTGTGGCGGCAACAAGGGTGAGGAGGGACAAAAGACAAGTGTGTCTTGCCTACAGTCAAGCATGGTGGTGGTGACATGGTCTGTCATGGATGGTGGTCTTGGCTCTGCATCAGTGCTGCCGGCACTGGGGGGCTACAGTTTCATTGAGGGAACCATGGAATGGCAAACATGTACTGTGACAGACTGAAGCAGAGCATGATCCCCTCCCTTCAGAGACTGGGCCGCAGGGCAGTTATTCCAACATAATGACCCCAAACACTCTCCAAGACCACCACTGCCTTGCTAAAGAAGATGAGGGTGAAGGTGATGGGACTGGCCAAGCATGTCTCCAGGAAACCTGAACCCTATTGAGCATCTGTGGGACATCCTCAAATGGAAGGTAGAGGAGCGTAAGGTCTCTAACATCCACCAGCTCCGTGGTGTCGTCATGGAGGAGGGGAAGAGGACTCCAGTGACAACCTGTGGACGCTCTGGTGACCTCCATGCCCAAGAGGGTTAAGGCAGTGCTGGAAAATAATGGAAGCCACACAAAATATTGACACATTTGGGCCCAATTTGGACCTTGTCACAGAGCGATAACACCAAATGTAACCCACCCGCTCCCCATTCCACAACCTGAGACCTTGTAACACTGACGAGTCACATGCCCCAAGGAGAGAAAATGGCTAATTGGGCCCAATTTGGACCTTGTCACTTAGGGGTGGACTGGACTCACTTTTGTTGCCAGCGGTTTAGACATTAAATGGCGGTGTGTACCGGCTGATTTTATTTGAGGGGGGGACAGCAAATTTCCATGTTATACAAACTGTACACATGACTACCCCCCCGGGGGGGGGGGTCACATTGTAGCAAAGTGTTCATTTCTTCAGTGTTGTCACATGAAAAGAGAGAATCAAATATTTACAAACATGCGAGGTGTACACTCATATCTGGGAAAATACTTGTAGCTTCACATTTACCACTTCCTTTCCTGAATGAACACAATGAGTGATCAATAGGGGAGGCGGGGGGAGAAAAAGGGTTGGGGGGGGGGGGGGTGGGGCAGAGGGCCGGAAAGAGGAAGGGGGGGAAAATGAGCGTGCATAAAGGGGCTGCAGAGGTTTGGGACCCGGGGGCACACTCTGTGTGTAAAAAAAACAACGCTGAAACCGAACATATCACTCCCC